GTGAAGAGTAAAAAATTAGAAAATTAATGCCGCAAAAATTAATGAAATTGATAAATAAACATTTAAATGGTAGTTGAAAGAATTTTTTTATTATTGAGCCAATAATATCATGGCAGACTGGCGGCATGACAGAATGGCGAAGTTGTTTACGGAGTGACTTTAGATAAAATGTGATGGAANAAAATTAATGCCGCAAAAATTAATGAAATTGATAAATAAACATTTAAATGTTAGTTGAAAGAATTTTTTATCATTGAGCCAATAATATCATGGCAGACTGGCGGCATGACAGAATGGCGAAGTTGTTTACGGAGTGACTTTAGATAAAATGTGATGGAAGGGTTAATGTCTAAACTCCCGGTGTGACGTATGTAGAACCGACAAGTAGCGACCTCTCGCGATTCGATGGTCTCGAATTCAATCAAACAAACGAACGATACATAGATTTTGGAGTCCGATAATTGGAATAAAATTATAAAGCTGAGACGATTTTGATGTTGACAAACGATTCCGCTGGTTATCATGGATTTGAGTTTATTATAAACTCACAGGATGAAGTTGATATGATCCTTTTATTTTTATGATCCTGTATTCTTCATGATTTAATTTTTAAAGTATAAAAGTGCTGTCGTGCGCTAGACGGGTTATTGAGGGGTGTGGATAGATTCGGAGGCTTTTTCAAAGCTATGTGCAGGGTAGATGTTGGCTTTTTTGAGGGCAGGGGGAGAAAAATAAAATAAAAAATGCAACGGTTGTGGCTACGCGATAGTTGCAGCAACAGTTACCGCGATAGAAAATGCGACAGTTGTGCCTACACTCTCCGTGGTAGAATATGCGATAGTTGTAGCGATAGTTGTAGCGACAGCCACTGCGGTAGAAAATGTGACAGTTGTAGCTACACCCTCCGCGGTAGAAAATGCGATAGTTGTAGCGACAGTTACCGCGATAGAAAATGCGACAGTTGTGGCTACACCCTCCACGGTAGAAAATGCGATAGTTGTAGCGACAGTTACCACGATAGAAAATGCGACAGTTGTGCCTACACTCTCCGCGGTAGAAAATGCGATGGTTGTAACGACAGACACCGCGATAGAAAATGCGACATTTATGGCTACATCCTCCGCGTTAGAAAATGCGATAATTGTAGCGACAGCCACTGCGGTAGAAAATGCGACAGTTGTAGCTACATCCTCCGCGGTAGAAAATGCGATAGTTATAGCGACAGTTACCGTGATAGAAAATGCGACAGTTGTGGCTACACCCTCCGCGGTAGAAAATGCGATAGTTATAGCGACAGTTACCGTGATAGAAAATGCGACAGTTGTGGCTACACCCTCCGCGGTAGAAAATGCGATAGTTGTAGCGACAGTCACCGCGATAGAAAATGCGACAGTTGTGCCTACACTCTCCTCGGTAAAAAATGCGATAGTTGTAGCAACAGTCACCGCGGTAAGAAATTTGTCCTGAATTTTTACAGAGTTCTGACACCGCGCCGGCTATTATCAAAGCCGCATGCATTCAATCGAAGAGAGACAACGCTGCAGACGCTTCAAATGCAGTTTCCTAACGAATGTTTGGACTCATATGATTGAATTATGGGTATCCATTGTAGGGAATTGTTCCGACACTAGAATGAAAGAAAAAAAAATTGAAAAGTCTGATAATTCAGGCAGCTATGCATTATCTACAATTTCAAACTTTGAGTTACGGACGGAAGGCCATTGACGGAGGAGCGCACGTTTATAAATTCATAAAATAGAAAATAATTTTTTTTTTATGTGTAAACATCTTAGCGCGCGTTATCGAAATCTGTGGTGGAGTAATCCCAGAATCTTCACATACGGGGACGAAAATCCGAACGGGTGCGCAGTTGACCATTGCGCATTGTGATTACGATATACATACTGCACGCACAATGTTTACACATAGCTCGAGAGTGTTGGATACAGTCGCATCAAATTCTTTGTTTTTACAGCCTCCGCGATTTAAGTAAAAAGCGACATTTATGGCCACAGCCACCGTGGAAGAAATGCAATAGTGGTCGCGACACCCAGCATAGAGAATTGTTTCAAAAATAAAATTGAAAAAAAATTAGCGCATAGAGGCTACGCACGGCAAAAGTGAAACTTCTCAGCTGCAGTAGTTGAGCGCATGTGCAAAACCAAAAGTGTGCAGAACTCAACAAAAAATTCAATTTCGCGCAGCCCGCCATGGCGAGATACTTCCGTTTGCCTCGTCCATCAGTCTTTTTCTATTTTGCCCTACCGCGAGAAAAGAAATTTTACTTCAAAAATAAAAATGGAAAAATCTAATAATTTAGCCAGCTATGCAGTTTCTAAATTTTGAAACTTGGAGTTATGGACACAGCCATTAGCGGAAGAGCCAACGTCTATCGATACATGAAATCAAATATCAGATTCTCTTCACATTTGGCAACTGACAATTTCTTCCATGTCCTCCGAAATTCTGATTCATCTATCAGTATATTGTGAGAAATGAGTAAAATCGAAGAAGAATATCTGAAGAATTGAGTCCCATCCGAAATGACATGTCTAAAACACCGAAAGATGATAACCTCTCGTGAATAAGTGACCCTGAGTTCAAAGTGCAATAATCTAGATGGAATAAGGAAATGGAAACGATCTTGATGGTAAGTATTCTATTGTTTACTACAATAATAAGAAAAATGATTCGTGGCAGCAGTCACTGCGGTGATTGAGGTCTCTCGAATGCTTAGTGAGACTCGCTGATTTTGGAAACGAGATAACTCATTCACTTGTTTGCATATTCATGTAATTTTTTTTTCAATCTACTCTTTGGTTATTTCTACATAATGGACACCCCCTAGTAAATAATCCACATATGACCATTCATGGAGGAAAATGTGTCATTGGGGGCTACATTATTGCCTCGTTCCATGGCTGGAAACCAATGACTGCTGTGATTCGTAAAATTCTCTAGATGTTATCAAAATTATTATTTTATTGAATTTTTCACCATTTTCCAATGACTTTGGAAGAGTCGAATTCAGTTTCTCCGAGGTGAAAAAAACGTTCAACGCCCTGGAGAGAAAATGAATTACGTCCTACAAAAAGTCTTCCGCATTCTTCCTTCCTTCATGCCGTATGTCTTCCAGTGTCTTCTCGAGACAATCTTGTCTAAGATGCTGAAGAGTATCCTTCTGGCTATCCTCCAGAGTCTCCTTGGGGAAAACCCCGTTGAAGATGCTGGAGAGAATCCTTCTGGCTATCCTCCAGAGTCTCTTGGGAAAAATCCCGCTGAAGATGCTGGAGATAATCCTTCTGGCTATCCTCCAGAGTCTATTGGGGAAAATCCCGTTGAAGATGCTAGAGATAATCCTTCTGGCTATCCTCCAGAGTCTCTTGGGGAAAATCCCGTTGAAGATATTGAATAGAATAATTTCATTTATCTTCGTGCGTATCCCGCAGACAATTCTGTTGAGGATTCTGTTGTGTGGTATGCTCATTGTCATCCCACACAACTCTGCCCATCACAAATCTACTCAAACGTCTCTACTAAAAACCCTACCAGCTGAACGGCCTAAATACAGTTTCTCTTATTATTATTATTCACGACGGTAAATTAGTACTCTGTGGGTTCCATCTAGGAAGACTGGAATTATGACACGTCATTTGGTTCTTCATTCTTTTCATTCGTTCGTGCTATGAGGAGATTGCATAGCAATAAATAAAGTAAATCTATTTCCTCTCTTCAATTCACATTTGGGATAGATTTAAGTCGATTGCCACTTTCTATTTATCTGATTTATACTTCATTAGATTTATATTCAATTAAATACATTTTTTGGTAGAATTAAAAAATATTTTTGTACATTTCCAATTTTTTCATTAAATTGTTCAAGCTTCACTTTCTATCATCTAGAATTTAAATAAATGAAAAATGGTCTTGCCTCTGGCGATGACATTCTCGAGCATCAGTACATCATTTTATTTAATCAAACATTACTTTAGGTGAAAATTATTGTATCATCACGGAACAGGATTCGTATGATATTGTTCTCCCTACATTATTGACATGGAAAAATCGATTGTCGATAATATCAATTTTATCCACCCATGGGGGCACCACAGGAGTGATTATGGTCTAGTGTTTCAAATTTTTTGCCATAAGCGGTTCAGTTGCGAAAAATACAATAACATCGAACCCATTTTAAGGTTCCTTTTTTTCACCGGTAATAATTATCAATTGTATGTGGTGTAATTATCAATAAAAATTGGAATATTGATCAAAGTAATAATATCAGTAAATCATATTTATGTGCAGAATTGAATAACGTTATCGAGGTAATTATCTTCATATTTTCTCAACTATTTCAGATGTTTTCCTTATTTCTGAATTCTTTGAATATTCAGTTTTCGCAACATGATTAGTTATTCGAACAAAATAAAGTAATCAACAATTATAATGACAAAGTAATGAACAATTACGTTGTAACTTCGGTAATCATATTTCTACAGGTTATTATCCAATGCTTCCGTTTGTATTCCAGATAAGCCCCCTGAGTGCAATTTATCTCAAATTCTGATTACAAATATGCAATTAAAACGCGGAACTACATTACCTTGTCTTATCAAATCATCTCGTCAACCCCCCCCCCTTTCCACAATTATTCAGATTTCATCTAAAATGGATGGGAGACAATGCATCACTAAAACGCTGCGTGCATTCAATTCTTCTTCTTGAATCGTCAACTCGTGAAAATTATTAAAATGCTTGAATGCTCGAAAGACATGATTTCAAGTAGAATCGCGGAATTTTCATTTTGAACACTTCATTTGGAACACTTCATTCGATTTCTTTTCAAGTAAGGGCATGCGATTCAGCTCTACAATTAGAATGTAATAAAACCCTTTCGCCATTCTTTCGTTATCAAAATTTGTTTCGGTCTCATTTGACATTTGCTTTTTCTACTGAATAGAATCTACTCTATTTCTCGTGTTCTCCATCTTTGCAGAGTGATGGAAGAAATTATTATTTCGAATGATGAAGTTTTTGAACCCACACTTGAGGAGTTTTTCGATTTACACACACTCATTGATCTTCTGGAGAGTAAAAACTTCGATGCGGGTTTTGCGAAAGTTCGAGCTCCTCAACAATGGCTCGATCAATGGGATGACGTAACTTTGCTACCACCCAATCTGCCCATTTCTCCTGTGGCGCAAAATTTTAAACAGCACGGAGATGGTTACCTCATCGAGAAACACCATTTGAAACGTCCTACTATGACACTATCGGAATATGTCCAGCGAGTTTCGGAAACTGTGTGGCCCTACTCCGATGTGGATGAATGTGAGCATCATTACTGGTCAACATTGAGACAAAATGCACCTACAGTTCTGTATGGAGCTGATATCAATTATTCATTGGGTAAGAGCGTCAGTACATGGAATTTTAATCGTTTGGGCTCAATTTTGGATTCGGTCAAAACAGCACGTGGTGAAGAAGTTGATGGAATTCACCGGCCATATTTATACCGTGGCAGCGCTGGATCGACCTTCGGGTTTCACACGGAGGATTACGATTTGCACTCAATTAATATCCATCTTCACGGCGCACCCAAGGTGTGGTATTTTGTACCTCGTGAAGATGGATATCGTTTTGATCAAATTGTATCCAGTCTGTTCCCCTAGTATATGTGCCGAAAATTCCTACGACACAAAATGTGTCTGTTCCCTGAAAATTTCTTTTTGAAAAATCAAATAAAACGAATCAGAGTTGTTCAACGCCCTGGTGACATCATCATTACTTTCCCGTACATTTTCCACTCGGGCTTCAACTGTGGGTTAAATGTGAATGAAGCGGTGAACTTCGCTACTCCAAGGTGGATAAACTATGGCATGAGTGCCACGCACTGCTCCTGCAGACCCAGTAGGAAAATATCCAGCTTCCATGTGAAATTAAATTTGGACCCAGTAATTCAACGCTACAGACCATCGAAATTTGCTGCGTGGAAATACCAACAAAGCACAATCCATCACCCTGACGATCCAGCTGTTGGAGAAGAAAGAAAACAACGGAAAAAGACTGTCGCGAGGAAGTTTGTAGACAATAACGCACGTAAGGTCCAGAAAGCAGAACTTCCGAGCAAGGTGTTGATAGCTTTCTTGAGATATTTGATAGAGAATGAGGTGTCATCGAAGAGCGAGAAAACCGTCAACAAATTCAAAAAATATGCATCTACTCAAAAGATTAAATTGCCTACATTAAAAGCTAGCACACTTTTATCTAGACTTGATACACAAGCATACAGTCCATTTATCGCGGGAGACGATACATTTGATCTCAGTCAAGATAAAATTGCGAAATTGAAAAAAATTTTGAAAATACAGTAGCAGAAAACAACAAATTCAACTTTACCAACTTTGGAGGAGTCAGGAATAACTCTATAAAGAATTTAGAATGATCGAAAAATGATTGAAAACATAAAACAGCACTTTCCAAACGAAGAATTCATTATCCCTACATTATACAGACTTCGAGGGACGCTCAATCAACGCAAAATCATCGAACAGATACTCAATCATCACAATAAGTTGTTGGAGAGTTAATTGATTTTCCTGGAGATTATACAGACTTTCAAGGTTTCCAAGATAAGTGGAGAATTGATTGAAAATCATGAAAAAATAAGTCAGTACTTCAAAAATGTATTCCACGTCATTAAAATGTCCTAGAACTTCAAAAATATCAATTTCAGTTGTTTCACGAAAGCCAGAAAGCTCTCCAGACTTTGAAGACAGCTTTAAAAGTTCTGAAAATGATTGATTTGAATGATTATTGTAAATAACCGAAATTTGCATCTAGAACTCCTGGAATGTCACCCAGAGTCATCAATGGATGTCCATTGATTAGAAAAGATCGTACAACTATTGAAAAATCACTCGAGGATCTTCTAAATAGGGATAGGAATGATGAAAAGAGCAAGAAGAGTGGATCCAACGAGTCCAGGACAAATTGAAACAACAGATATGGTCGAAATGATCAAAATAATGCTGATAATAAAGATTCAGATTCTTATTATTTGGTCAGTATGTTCAGGAGTCATGATAAACAAGACGTTGAAGGTCATTTGATCACTTAACAACTAGTGAAAATGTTGTAATCTTCGCAATCACCTCCAGAGTCACCTAAGCCCGAGGGGATTGGATTATCTCATACAGATATCGAACGACTTGGATTAGATGGAGATCACACTGGTGAGTTTAATTGAGTTTATTAATATTGTAATTTGATGAAATTTATAAATTATCTATTGAATATTCAATTGCAAAGCTTTTGGGATTGGAGAGGTTGACAGAGAAATGTCAAGACCTTTTTGGCTAGGAATTGAATTTTCTATAAATTAATTATTTATCTTAACTTTATTTGAATGTTGTTTAAAACGGTCGAAGAACATCAGAAATGATGGAAAATCTATTTTTCATTTTCGGGGGCATTACAATAACTTCTCTAACCCGGGAAGCTAATTATCTATCATCATTATCCCTTATAATTATCCTTTTTCCTTCCACAAGATAATTAATCAAATTGATTATTTATCTCCATTAGCATGGCACATTGTAAAGCGACCTTCAACAAGGTGGAAAACTAGACGATTTGGTACAAACATCAGAGGTTCGGAGTATACAATCAAAGGCAAAAAAAGAGGACAACCGTTTACAATTGCAGTTTAACAGCTTCAAGTTCAAAATATCCTATGAATTAATTAACAATGTAAGAAAATGAATCTCGAGCATTCACCCGTACTTGTCTACCTGTTAACTTTCGAATTAATGAGAATCACTTGATGAATTTATCAGGAAAAAATGCAAATAATATACCAAATTTATAAATTCAATATTATTCTCAATGCATAGAGCTCCTCAACCATAACAATTAATGAATGACGAAGATTAATGTCATACATATTCTGTTATGAGTCCGATTGTAATTATTGCAACAGTAACTGCCATTTTCCTGGACAGACAAATACATCTTTTAAGCACACTCGAAGTTAAGCTTGTTGTACATATCCTCTATTTCATTTTATTATGGAAAAGAGAATACTATTCTTAGGAGTTGTAGGAATAGCAATTATTCACACTGATTATTCGATTTCGTTTATATCATTTTTTGGGTTCTTTCATTTCTAATTTTTTTTTTTTAATTTGTTCGTAGACTGTGCACATTTTCCAAAATATTGAGAGGGATGTTGTGGACTATTTCTGGTGTAAAGTGGTGAAACGTAAGGAAATAGGAAAGATAACTACAATTTTTTCAGTTTTCGTGCAATAAAATATTTGATTCTTTTAGTAGACTATCTGTAATGAGTACTTTTATGAGAAAATGTCACAAAATATTTTTTGTAGAGAATTTCGTTTACTACATACTATTTCTTTGACATTTTCTTCTGGACTCATTAGTTCCAGATATATTTACAAAATAGTTTATACATTTTTTTCTTCATCCCTAGTGAAAAAATCTAGGTTTATAATTAATTTCCAAATTGATTCTCAAATGGATCCTGAACTGAGAGATTTAGAGAAATTGATAAAGAAAGTTTTTTGGTAGTTAGTTTTGTGCTCCAAAAAAAAATCTCTTGCCTTTTTTTCTGAAACTACTCGTTTTCGACATAAATAATAGATAACATTTACGTTTTACAACTCACCTTCACAATGATAAATTTCTCGTTTCTTTATTATTGCATTGTACAATTGTCACTTTGGTATTGACTGACTCTAAACAAAACCAATTTATTGTAAACAAAATTTGTAACAACCCAATGTTTTCGTTATTCAGAAACAAAAAGGGCCTACTTACTAGAATGAACAGAAATGTGTACGATTAAAAAATTTAGTAAAAATCCGAAAAAAAAAGTATTGAAAACTGTTGCTAGGATATATGATATGACTGAATAATTCGATGAAATATAAGTACTAGTGAGACAAGTGTTATTTCATCATAAAGAACTTAGCGTTTTAGCAAAGAAAACTGTTGCCACTGGTTGTCATTATGTCCGTTGTGTTACATATTCTAGTTTATACATTTACTTATTAAAAAATGAAAAATCTCTCTAATTTCTTATAATTAGATTTTTTTGGGTTACGTGAGGATTATTGTCCGTGGCCATTGTTAATTGATATTGCATCTCAGCTGTTCATTAAACCCCAACCCATACAAAAGTACATTTTTTTCCATTTATTTAATTTATTTGATTTTTTTGATTCATCGATTATTTATACACATCCAGGGAAAAATTAGAGGAATGATTGAATGCAGCCAAACAAGCAATAATAAACTAGTCATAGAGGGGAATTTATAAGTGGCCTCTTATTGTGTTATGATTTTAGTAGTGAGCCTCCACTTTCATTAAATATGTGTTCAGAATTCCGAATAGACCCCAGAATAGTACTGGCTCACCCTAGTATTCCAACAGTTTGAGATCCTGCAACAGAGAAGAAAGAATTTAATTTGATTAATGATTTTCATTGAATTTTAATTAATTTAATTTAATTTAATTGCAAATACTTCTAAGAAATAATTCAATAGATAAACCTAGCCAAGTTGCAAGGAATTTATATTGAAATGACATAATTCTTTCATGTGCTTCATAAGGGAAATTTTCTCCAATAAATGTGATTGATATGAAATATTTTTAGACAACACAAGTAAAGAAATTTAGTTTTTTCCATACTATTTATTTTCTTGACGATTTTTTCTCGTATTTTTTTAGCAAAAATGATTCATTTGATTTCCCAATCGAATACGAAAATATAATAGATAATGTATACGAATAAATTCATAGAGAAAAATGTAAAAAGGATAAATTGCCTAAGAAATTTGAAATCTCTTAATTTCATAGTCTATAAATTTTTTTAATTAATTAATTAATAATTAACAGAGTAATGTTTGATCTTTCGAATTTGTCAAAAAATAAAAATATTAACTAGACCATTAATTTAATTAATTAATTGTATTAATAGTTCATTGAATATTTTTATTTTTTCAGAAACCAATAAAAAATAAACATTAATCTGTATGCTGAATATCTAATGTATGATTGTTACTCACATTGAAATGATTTATCAAATTTTTTAAGCATTCCCAGCATTGGAAAGCTGACAGTCCTGCTGGCAGTGCTGGATCATTAGATAAAATCCTATAATGAAAAAACCACATTCCAGATTCGAATTCATGTGTAGTACATTGTTTTTTCTAGTAAAACTACAACAATTACCTCCATTTATCCCGCTCGAATAGAGCAACCATCGACCAATCGTCTGTACGAAATAAATATTCATACACGTAGCAACGAAGGTTAATCAACAACCTCACTCTCTCTTCACTCCCTGCAATAGACATTTATTAATTAAATGGAGTATAATATATTTTAATTATAGTTATAATTAAAATTAAAGAATGGCCACTTCATAGCATTACTTACAGATGTTGCGATCCATTTTTTAATTAATTTTTCACCACGAAGCCTCTCCCAATATCAGCAGTTTTTTAATGGACTGTGTTTTGTTTAATTCTCGGTCTCTCTCCTCCCCACTCCTGAGAAACCTCGGAGGGTATTATACATATCGTCGCTCTAAAATTAAAGGCGTATAAGTTCCAATATTCTTCAATTGTTTTTTCTTAATACCAAAGG